CTTTGGTGTAACTATTCTGTGGCTTGCCAGCTTGCTGCTGCAGTTCTACTTGGAGAAAGATGTATCTCTGCATTCTAGTTTGAGTATAAATAAGTATTTAACAACTTATAAAATTTTAATGTAAAACTTAAGTCTAAAAAAGACAGTATTTGTACTTTCAAGTTTGTTTTAGATGTTGACTATTCACTATAAAAACAATTTAAATAGAGTTATCTAAAGGATTCTTCTTCTCCAGCAACTGAGAAATATATATATATATTTTAACTTATTCCCCACAATAAATCAGCATCTGAAATAGCTCAGGTGTACTATGGCATTCATATACAAAACTGTTGTCTTCTAAAACCAGTTTGCTTTCCTTGAAGAACAAGTAAGAAATAGCAATTTCCAAGGTGAAAAGGAAAAAAACCCACCCCCTCTACAGGGAGTTTCTTATCACAAAACAAGTTGGAGACTCATTTACATCAAGTATCATCTCTTATGAGCTACTTTACATAGTAACATAAATACCCTCTAATAGTCAGTCACTTGGAAATAGCATGCCAAAATAATTCCTTGGTACTTAAGCAAAACAGATGAAAAATAATGAGCCACTCCAACTCAGAACATGTTGTTGTTATCTCAAAAACACAGTGTGCCTCTGGAAGCTATTATGCGGCATGTAAAATGAATTCTTAATGCTAACAGACAGAGAGAAAAACTGACTTGGGAATATTAGCCTACACTCGGATGCAGTTGGTGCTTTTTTTCTGAATTCTTGTAGAAAAACACTTTTGTGTCTGGAGTTTGTCATGCAGCTCCCATGTAGACAAGTGAATGAGGGGAGTTACTCTTTCCGCTTTTATTGAGCCACATAGTTTGGAGTACTGTATGTCTCTCCAAAATCCTGTGTTTTCATTGAAATCCCACCTTAATCATGCTGATTTTCACCAATAACACCACAGCAGGCAGGAATGTTCTCCAAGATTCTCTGTTCTCCATACAGCCCTGAAAAGGATGCTGCATGAGTCCCTGCTAAAATCTCCAGAGCTTGCAAGGCCGGATCTCTCAAAGGAGATCCCCCTTTTCAAAATCCTCTGATGTAGAAGTGCAATTTCTATACAAAAGTCAATAATCTTTAAACACATTCTCATCTTGTATAGGTACATTTTTCAAGGCACAACCAACTTAGTAACACAAGTCCCACCAGCTTTCCTCTGCGATTGTTCTCAGTGTCATGGTGGCACTTAGGGAAGTTCTACCCCAGCTACTGCAAGGCCAGCTTTAAAACATGGCTTAACTTCTTTCTGTGCTTTTGATACAAGACACATGCAGGTTTGCTTTGTTCTTTTTCTCCTCAGAGATGACAATGAAGCACCTACTAAAGTAGATGCAACTTTGCAGCTGTCCTGCTGCTGTGTTTCTAGTCATGAGACTAATTTTGTGCCTTGGCTAGATGCTGGCAAAAATGAAAGTAAGTATTTTAAACTTCCTCAAAGAAAACCAGTCTCTGCTAGGGTGGCTCACAATCCCAAACTCATACCAGGCTGGTGATTACCATTGAATTTCCAGTTGAACAGCACAGCACAGTCTCTTGTCTTCTTATTGGTACACAGGGAGCCCTTCAATACTACTGGGATCTATATAACCTTACAGGCATAGGTGCAGATTATGGTTTTGCTTAATATAAAATTCTGCTTAGAGCTACTTTTGTTTAGCTCTCTCTCACATTCCCAATATGAAACCACAAATACATTACATTGAACCAGAAATGAAAATCTGTGTGAAAGGCAGGGTACACACAAAAAATTATAAACCCATTATAAACTCCTGATGCTGAACCCGGGACATTGCAGCAGATTGCCCTGCAACCCACCTCAGATAGATAGAGCAAAGAGTCATATCTGATTTTTCAATGCTTAGATATTTATGAAAGCCAGAATGGCAAATATATTTATAGTTAACGTTTCAGAGCCCTGATAAGAAATATTTTTATAACTAAGTATGGATTTTTGAGGCAAGTGCATTAGTATTTCTTTAACTTCTTATAGCATGAAGTTGCCAAGAAAACAAGCAATAGGCACTATCACAAATCCTTTAAAAAGACAGTGATTAAGTGTACCTGCTTTTATCTTCCTGCAATAGAAAAATAAAGCCTCTGTTGCTCTCAGCAGAAGTAACACTACATGTTTGCTCTATTATTGTATTTTTTGCCAGGCTTTCACCAGTAGCCGCTGGTAGAAAAAATATACTGGACTAGACAGACCTTTGGTCTGAGCAGCTGTGTGTTGGGTTTTTTTTCTATTGTAGGATTTTTTTCTCTACTAAAAACTAGTTCAGAAGTACTTCTTCCATGTTGCTTAAGTACTGCACATAACTCTTTTTGCATTCCATAATAAAAACCAAGGACATGCTGAATTTCCAGAAAACCACAAGTACCCAACTTCATAAACCAGCATGAGTCAAACTAAATAAAATTCCACTCATTATGCTAATGGAGTTCCAAAGTCCCCCCAAAGCCCAGAAACATTGGCACATTGTACAATTTCTGTAACGATTCTATGGAAAACCCTTAGAAGCACTGCAGTAATGCTCTGCTTTCCAACCTACCAGAAGGAATAATCCACAAAACAATAAAGAATCAGTTCTCAATTCAATTAATTTTTATCCAGAGGAAACAAAGAAGAGGAAATGCTTATAACTTGGCTTCCTTTATTTTCCTGGGAACCCTTATGCTATCAGTGCATCTAAAGAGAGGAACAACAAATGGTCCCCATTTGCCTAAGGACTCAGATCAAAAGCTACAGCCAAACAGTAAATGAAGAGCCATTCCTATATGGAATTGGAAATCACCTGCTTCAAAGCGCTCTCACTTTTTGCCCCTCTCTCTAGCAAACATGTTTCATAAGCAACAACGGTTTGGTTTTTTTTCACAGCACAGTTTTCCTCTGAAGCTGAATTTCAGAATCACAAATAAGCAGATGCCATAACCAAGAAACACTGTTTCAGGCCTATAAAAATGCTTTTAAATATTACAGTTTATTTACAGTGACATCCTCATCTTTCCTAAGACAGATAAAATAACAGAGCTTAGCTCCTCTTAATTTCAAAAGTTAGTATTTTCACAGCAGTTAGCAATAGTGCAGTGTTTCTGTTAAATAACTGAGGACTTCATTGTTGGAGTGAGAGGTTTGCTTGGGAAGTGCAGTTAACTGTTAAAATATTCCACTCTATCAGAACAGGAGGATACCTGCCCTTTTCCAAAGACTTACACATGCTGATATAAAGGCAATGTATTCCAGAAAATCCCAAAGCTTGAAAGAAATTTCACAGACACAAAATACAGTAATTGAATTGAGTTTTTGTCACAGTTAGGGCACATGGCTCCAAGAGACCTTACCTTCAAACGCAGGACATGGAATGGGTGATTGGGGTATGAAGGCTCAAACTGGACTACAGTCTACTGGCAAACTACTAATCTACCACAGCCTTTTTAGAAAATAAATTGTGGAGACATTTTGTCAAAGATAGTTTAATCCCATTATCTTACAAAACAACATTAAAAATCTTTCATGATCTCAACATAAGTATTGATTCCATTAACATTTTTATTGAATTACATTTATCAATTTCCTTGATCACTTTCTTCTGCCCTAATTTTCAAATAGGATTTAAGTAACTATTTTTCCAGGGAATGTCAATACTGAGATCTGTTTACAAAAATTTATCAGACCACCCATGGTATTTAGGTAATAATGCTGTATGATGAGTCCCTCTCCCTCATTTTGCCAGTTCAACCACTAATAGTTGAAACAGTAATACCATATCTCACAAAGTCACAAAAATAATTTGCAAGATTTGTTTGTGTATTTTAAGGAAACTCCAGAAGTATTAACATACTTTGTCTTTTCCGAAAAGAATTCAGACTTTCATGCTATTTTCTCTACTACTTCATCTGGCTTCTTGGTTTATTACATGACTCTCTTTTTAGAGATCACAGATAAAATTTTTAGAAGGAAAAAACACTAATTTCCTCTAATAAGGAAAAGCTTAGGCTCTGATCCTGAAAACAGAGGTGAACTTCACACTGCAACGAAGTATATTCCCACCCTTGTGAACCTTAGATGACTAACGTAATTTAGTCTTTCGTAGGCAGATATTGAACCTTTTGTTTACAAGTGTACAGTATACACAAGTAAATCATGTTTTATAGGTATGTGTATTTTCAAATTCTTTATTATGTGTAGTCACCAAATATGGTAGTAAAAAATTATTCCTAAACAGATGCATTCTAACTGTAATGTAAACCATGCCAGATTCTGAGACTTGCACATAATTGTGTGCTGACACCAAAATAAGAAGTCAGCCCTAAGGCCTTCAAAAAAGCCCAAGCCCATCTGTACCCAGGCCTGTATTTCCATTTATCTCCCATCTACCGACAAATGTAAATTTGGCAACTTGTCCTTTCTTAATTTACACTGAGTACACCAATATTTTACCAATATATGAAAAGAAGAAAAGTAGGGGGGAATAAATATGTAGTGATGCTAAAAATTAAAAATGTCTATCTTTGATGATATACTGACACTCCTTTCATATAAGGCACATTTATAAGTAAGCTAATCTGCAACTAAAATTGATGCATTACCTTAAGAAATCTAACTCAAAGGCAAAGAAGTTTACACTGTTACAATGTATAATTCAAGTTGTCAGCATGGCAGTATAATTTAATTAAAAGGCAAACACATTTTGCCTCTTCAGCAATCATTATTTTAAATCTGTGTGTCATATGTGATGAAGATGATTGTGTAAATGACTGTATCAACAATTTCTATGATTGCTTTCATAAAAGCTTCCCAAATTTAAACACTTTCTTCAGTTCTTTTTCAAGACATTGGCACTTACATGCATAATAACCAATTTTGACTACATTAAAAACAATGTCTTCAGTAATAAAAATTGTTCAGCTATACTTCCAAAGTTTGATGAATAGGGTTAAAATTAATCTCCAGTAGTCTATGCTACTTTAGTGTTAAATAATGAGGTAGCACATTGTTCCAAAATTGTTCTGTATTATGTAAACCATTTGCTACATGCTGTTTGGACTTCATTTTTTGTTTAGAGCTGTTTGGTAAAGCAGTACTTTCTGTCTTCTCTGGCTTCCTGGTTTTGCTATTCTTTTGTGGAAGCTTATTCATATCATTTTTTCTTTTACCTTTTGCTTTTTCCTCTTCCTCTCCTTCTTCCTCCTCTCCCTCATCCTCCTTTTCCTCCTCTCCCACAACCCCTTCCTCCTCTTCTCCTTCTTGCTCCTCTCCCTCTTCCTCTTCCTCCTCAACTTTATCTTCTTCTCCCTCTTCCCCTTCTTCTTCTTCCCCTCCTTCTTCTTCCTCCTCTTCTTCTTCCTCCTTTCCCTCTCCTTCTTCTACTTCTTCTCCCTCTTGTTCTTCCTCTCCCTCTTCTCCCTCTACTTCTTCCACTCTGCCTTCTTCCTCTTCTTCTTTCACTCCCTCTTCTCCCTCTCCTTCTTCCTCTCCCTCTTCTCCCTCTACTTCTTCCACTCTGCCTTCTTCCTCTTCTTCTTTCACTCCCTCTTCTCCCTCTCCTTCTTCCTCTCCCTCTTCTCCCTCTCCTTCTTCTTCTCCCTCTTCTCTCTCTCCTTCTTCCTCTCCCTCTTCTCTCTCTCCTTCTACCTGTCCCTCTTCTCCCTCTCCTTCTTCTACTCCCTCTTCCCCCTCTCCCTCTTCTCCACCTTTTTCTTCCTCCCCTTCTCCCTCCTCTTCCAACCCTTCTCCCTCTTCATCTTCTCTTTCTTCTTCTTCTTCCTCTTCTTCGTTTTCCCACTCTTCTTCCCGTTTTTCATCTTCTTCTTCCTCCTCCCCTTCTCCTTCTGCCTCTGCTCCTTCCTCTTCCTCCTCTCTTTCCTCTTCCACTTCAGCCTCCCCTTCTTCCACTCCAGCCTTTCCCTCTTCTCCTTCTTCTTCCACTCCACCCTCCCCCTCTTCTCCTTCTTCTTCAGCCTCCCCCTCTTCTTCTTCTGCTTCAGCCTCCCTCTCTTCTCCTTCTTCAACTCCACCCTCCACCTCTTTTCCTTTTTCTTTTGCTCCACCCTCCCCCTCTTCTCCTTCTTCCACTCCACCCTCCCCCTCTTTTCCTTTTTCTTCCTCTCCACTCTCCCTCTCTTTTCCTTTTTCTTCCTCTACACCCTTCCCCTCTTCTCTCTCTTCCATTCCACCCTCCCCCTCTTCTCCTTTTTCTTCCACTCCACCCTCTCCCTCTTCTCCTTCTTCATCCACTCCACCCTCCCCCTCTTTTCCTTTTTCCTCCTCTCCACCCTCCCCCTCTTTTTCTTTTTCTTCCATTCCACCCTTCCTCTCTTCTCTTTCTTCTTCCATTCCACCCTTCCCCTCTTCTCCTTCTTCTTCCATTCCACCCTCCTCCTCTTCTCCTTCTTCTTCCATTCCACCCTCCCCCTCTTTTCCTTTTTCCTCCTCTCCACCCCCCCCCTCTTTTCCTTTTTCTTCCTCTCCACTCTCCCTCTCTTTTTCTTTTTCTTCCATTCCACCCTTCCTCTCTTCTCTTTCTTCTTCCATTCCATCCTTCCCCTCTTCTCCTTCTTCTTCCATTCCACCCTCCTCCTCTTCTCCTTCTTCTTCCATTCCACCCTCCCCCTCTTTTCCTTTTTCCTCCTCTCCACCCTCCCCCTCTTTTCCTTTTTCTTCCATTCCACCCTTCCTCTCTTCTCTTTCTTCTTCCATTCCACCCTTCCCCTCTTCTCCTTCTTCTTCCATTCCACCCTCCTCCTCTTCTCCTTCTTCTTCCATTCCACCCTCCCCCTCTTTTCCTTTTTCCTCCTCTCCACCCTCCCCCTCTTTTCCTTTTTCTTCTACTCCACCTTCCCCCACCTCCTCAGTTCTATTTGCATCTTCTTCTTCCTGTTCTTCAGACACCCCTTCTTCTTCCCCCCCTGCCAATGATTGTTCTAATCCCTCCTCTTCACCCTCTTTGTCTTTTTCACTCTCCCTTTCTTTGTTTTCTTCATTTTCATATTCTCCTTCCTCTTCTGCCTCTACCTCTTTTTCTTCTTCCCTGTCTCTAGCTTCACATCCTTCCTCACTCTCATCTTTTCCCTCACTTTCAACCTGTTTCTCCTTTTCTTTTTCACTGTCTTCCTCTTTTGCATATTCCTGCTCCTTCTGCTCATCCTCTTCTCCCTCACTACGCATTTCTTCTTCCTCCATTAACCTGTCTTCCTCAGCTCCTTGCTCTTTGCTATCTTCCTGATTAACCTCTTCAGTATTTTCTGCACCTTCATTCTCAATTTCAGCCTGTGATTCTTCTCTTTCATTTTCTTCCTCTTCCTCATTTTCCTCTTCATCTTCATCTCTTTTTATTGAAACTTCACCTCTATCTTTTTTAACCTCACTCTCTTCTTCTTCCTCCCCTACTGCACTTTCACTGTCAGCTGCTTCATCTAGTTTTTCCTTTTCACTTCCAATCTTTTCACTGCCTTCACTCTCCTGCTCTTGATTGAATTCCTCCTCATTCTTAATTTCTAATTGCCTGTCTTTATCAGATTTAGCTTCAGAGTTTGTTTCTTCCTCATTCAGACTTGTTACATTGGTCTCTTCTGCATATCTTCTCTCATTGTTTGTAGCTTGTATCTCCTTAATCTCACTGTCTTCTTTGTCTAGATCCATAACTATCACATTTTCTGTTCCCATTGCCTTCTGGATCTCTCTATTTTCATAGTAGTCCTCTTCTTTTTCTCTCCTCTTAGGCATGTATTTTGCAAGATCATTAATACTTTCCTCAGATGAAAATGAGGACATAGTTAGAGTTGTTTTTTTAAAAAATTGATCCTTTTTTTTAAACACCCTTTGCTCTTCACTACCTTCTTGTCCTGTGACACCTGTTTTTTCACATTTATCAGATTTTTCAACAACATCCTTTATTTTGTTTTGACTTTCTACTGCTTCTTGACTCCCCTGCTTTTCAACAGGATTGTATTTCTGTACAACTAATGATTCTGTCTGAGGCTGATCCCTGGATGCAGAAGGAAGCACTTCTATTTTAAGGGATTGCTTAAATTTAACAGCTTTTGCCTTTTTATTGGAAGAATCCACTTTTTCAGTCAGAATTTCTTTTTCAGTGGGAAGATTAGAAGTTACTTCCCCTCTGAGAAATTCAGGATTTTCCACATATTCTTTTTCCCTTTTCACTGATCTGCATTTGTCCCTAGTGATTTGTTGAACATCACTTTTCAAAGTATTAACACTTTGTGTGTGCTCTGATTCACCTTTTGTTTTTTTGGCAACAGGTTTCTCTACAAAGGCACTACTTTTTACTAATTCTTGTCCCAGTGATTCTGAAAGTGAAGACTGCTTTTGTAAAGAGCCAGAGTCTAATTTTGTGCCCTCCTTCATGAAATCAGAATCCTTGTCTTTCAGCCCACCCTTACCATCTCTTTTCAGTTTCACATTTTTATTGTTCTTCTATTCCACATGAGAAGCAGAAAATTAAAAAGAAAGAAGGAAAGCATTAAGGACAAATGACAGCAAAAGAAAAAGATTACAAAAACATTTGAACAAGAAACAATTTGTTTGAAGAGACTAAAAGATAGCATAAAAGCTAGAGTTTTTTGCATGAAATGAGTTTACAAGTGCACATATTAGAAGAATGTAATGTTCTGTTGATGGTCATTGTACTACTACTCCTTTTTTACTATCCAAGCACTCAAAGTGAGTGTTATAAGAACTGTGCAGTCAGTATCATGTCCCATAAGCTAGAGCACATGCACTGTGTGAGGCTGTGCAAACAGGAGAGAACTGCACCTTTCTCCACTTTTCCCCTTGGGGAATCTCCTGAAGCACTCACTGGTATGCTTTTTTTTTAGTAAGTCTGAAAATCTATTGCCATTCTGCTTTAAATCTGACATTTGCTTAATAAATTCTGCAAAATATTTAAAATAAAATAAAAACATAATGAAATGCACCAAAATGCTGAAATGCTGGGATCACTTTAGGAGTGAAATGAAGAGAATACAAAAATATTTTCTTTTAAAAATTAAATCCAGTATTATTGCTCCTTTAAATATACCCCATGCTGAATTTCTGTAAATAAAATATTTACTTGCATTATGTCCCAAAAGTAAATTAAAATATTTTAATATCAACAAACCAGTAGAAATGCATGTTACAAGCATAAGTTACAAAGTGTGCCTGATAGTCTTTTTTTCCTTAAAACAGTGAAGTATTATATAGCCTTAAACTGTGGTGGATATGAGGAGTTCTATGAGCATGCACAAATTCTCTCTGGCTTCTGTCCACTTAGAATTTTACCTCATGGATATTCAGAAAATTAGCAAGAGGAGGCCACAAAATGAGCCTAGTTTTTTTAAAAACTCAAAGCAAAACAATAAAGTACAAGGATGATACATGAATTTCAGATCTTCTAAACATCAGAAAAAGTATACATGCATACATAATTAGTTACAGTACCTTTTGTTTTTGGAGTGGTGACAATTTTAAGGTCTGGTCACTGGGATTCAATTTCATTGCATGTGTCTGCAAAGAAGAAGATGAGAGTGGTAACTAGCTTAGATGTCAACATCAACAAACAAACAAACAAATAGGGAAAGTAGCATCAAATACTAGATCTACTAAACAGAGCTCTTTCAAGTAATATGAACATTTTAATACTATTGAAGTTAGGTTGAGAAAAATCTGTATGATCACTCATCTATTCTACTTCCACTCCCTCATTTACTCATTATACAAAGAGAGAGTGGTAACTAGCTTAGATGTCAACATCTAAATTGTCTGTAGGTACTGAAAGCTACGTGCCTTCTCTTACAGCCCACAAACATTTTTGATCCACCTTCTGCTCACCCTGAAGTTCTGGCTAGAAAAGTAACATCTTACTCCCTTATCATTTCAACCTCCAACTTAGCATCTAGTTGGATACCACAGAGTTGAAAAGAACATGCTCCAAACATGATACAGCAGAAATTTTCATTGGAACATAATCCCTGTATCTCTTCTGTATAATCAAAACCAGGAAAGGCAAGGCAATGCAGACTATTACTAAGTGGACAATTACAGCGAGATTTTGGTCAACCCTTCCCATATACTCCAAATGACAAGATAATTTTCTCTGCTGTTGTTTGTTAAGTGCTTCTGGTTTGACCACCATATTCTTTTTCAACACAGTGAACACAGTTCTGATTTCTGACTCCCAAGAACTTGTATCATCAGTACGATTATTAAAGATTTTTCCTCCTCTTCTCACACTTGTCAATAAGATGGATGCTGCCACAGTTGAAGAAAAATGGAAGCAACTCTGCTGTAACACATTATTTTCATTCAGATTCAAGAGCAGTAATTTCTCCTTTGTATTTTGACAAGTTTGCTGGACACAATTTTTTCAGATTTGCTGTTTAATTCTGATAAATGTTCTAAAATCAATACACAACAGGAACAAAAGCAAAAAGGAAGAGGAAGTCTAGAAGAAAAAAATGGTCAATATGTTATAAATAATGCCTCAGTAAATTAATGAGGCCAGGTGCATCACACCTGAAAACAATTATTTTTCTTGTAAATGAAAATAAAGTTTTCTAATTCTTAAATAAATGGTATGCACAAACAGATGGTTAAATTATTACGTACTATTAAGTAAAACAATAATTTGTGTAAAATTTGCAATCCCTCCAGCATAACTAACAACATATCCTGAGCTGAGTCCACATTAAGTAACTAATTTGATCCACCTGTACTAAAAAAGCTCTTCTAGGAACAGGAAAAGACAGCTCTCTGCTTCATTTCCTGCAGTTGTCCTCTTGGAAATCATCAAGATGAGGAAGGTCGAAGACTGAGATCACCATGTGGTATCCAGCATCCTTCTTTTCTTTCTCATATGCAGAGCTAAAGTGTGGGCAGGGGCTGCACTACTTGGACTGCTTCAATCACGTATGACAACAATACTTTGAAAATTAAAACAAACTTTACCACTGGATAATGATGATATGAAATGCATGCTCCTTTAACAGGATGTCAGTACTTCTTGATGGGACATAGGACATTCTGGGCTAGACAGGAGTCCTATACTAGAACCTGAAACAAGATTTAGCTGCTTTGCTGTGCCACTGCATAAAAATGATTGAATCACAGATTGATCAGTGGAATATAATACCATGTTTAGGATGTCAGTTGTATTCCCAAGGTTTCTGGCATTATTTTCATTATCTGAATCTTCTTCTGCAGAACTTTCATCAGGTTTATCTTTTTGATGATTCCTTTCTGTAAGGTAAAATAGTGGTAAGTAAACAAATATCACAGGAACAAGCAAGATACAGCAAATAAAAAACCTCATTCTTGTAAAAGAGTGATTCTCTCTATTTTCCTGACGTAGGATTTAAGTCCTGAGGTTCCTCATTCCCCCAGCCTAAGACACAGCAGAAATACTTCCACCTCCTTTTTGTCAGTATAGACATTAGAGATAGCTCAGCAACCTGGCCATAGCGCACTGTAGATCTCTGACCATTTTTGCAGGCTTTCAAAGCATAAATATGACATGGGACAAAGCTAATTTTGGATAATCTCTTTAATATCAGTGTACCAATTAGACTAAATTAGCTGCAGTCATATTATCTACATTGCATGTTATTTGTGTGATGTTTGGAGAGACATTAAGTTTAACTCTAATGCACCATCATAAAAATGGACCTACATAATTTTCAGGTTCACCTTATTATCAGGTATATGACCAGTTTCATACAGCACGAACCCTGAAGTTTTAGGCCTCAAAAGTCTCCAAAGGCACTTCAAATTTCACTGCATTGCTTCCATGAACCAGAAATGCTAATGGACACGTTGGCAGCTTCAGAAATAATAACCTTAATTCTAACTGAATGAACTACTTTCAAATTGGATTTGACAGTCAAATAAATCTGAGCTAAATTCTACACAGCAGCACTGCATTCTACACTCTTCAGCATGGCTCTTCTCTGGAAAGCACACAAACCCAGGAACCCAGATGAAGTCCATAACTGCTCTAGAGAATCTGGGCAAAACTCCAGTTCTGTATCAGTATCATTGTTATCCAGGTTTTTGCATTACCTAGAATATTGCAAATCCTTATTATCTTAGATAACAGAGAGTGAAGAGTGCCTTTGTATTTCCAAGTAAGATGAAAACTCCTGTAAGAATTAGTAGACTTTTTATCAAAGTTTTCTTGTAGGCTTTCCTGTGTCTTTACTAATGTTCCTAATTACTGTTTTTCTGTGTTTGTTTGTTTTTGAATGGAGAAAGTGATTACTAATCTTACAGCATTTTTGTGAAGTCATATTTCTACAGCCTTGAGGAACCTAAGGTACAATTCAGAGGTTGTTTTTCTTTCACTCAATCATCTAAATCCTTAAGCATGCTTTCCAAAGATAAACCAAGTGTAAGGCAATTTCTTGTACACATTTCTCAACTTTTATGTCTCTATCCTACCAGACCCTCTTGAGGTAAGACTGAACTTAAACCTCTTTCATGTTCAGAATGAGCATTTATTTATGAATTACGAGAGTCAAGCTAAATAGTTCTCAGAAAACAGCAACAAGATTTAGCAACACCTCACCTTTTTCAAGGTCTTTATCCTCCATAGGCTCAGTTTTAGGAAGACTTACTGTAGAAAAACAGACTGGGCTAGTGTTGCTAGTCACAGGCAATGAAGATTTTAAGAACTTTTCTCCCAGTGGAGGCAGAGTTTGTGCCATTCGAATAAACTGCTCTGGTGACTTTTCCTTTAGAAGACAAAAAAAAAAATTGTTGAGTATAAGAGTAGAATATAAATGTAAACAACCTGTCATATTTCATAGTAGTATTTTCCTACAGTTGATGATACAGTGTTGTAACTTTGTATGCAAAGCATAAACAAAATTTCTTTAATATATTAAGTCTTCATAAAAAGCGGAGAGAAATACTGGGTATTTTAGGCCGTTCCTACACAATAATCTCAAGTAGTCTTAAATTACAAAGGACAAGAAGAAATTTTATTTTTATTCAAAATGAAAATGCTAGTTACTCAAATAATAGAGTTACTTAATACACTGCATCAATATATTTTTACATAATGAATGTGGTCTTGTGTGAAAATTAAATAGTTTTTCAGACAGGTAAGGAAAATAATCCAACTCATCATGCTGCTAAAGACATTATATGGAATGCAAAGTGGAGACAAAGGAGAAGAAACTACTATTTTCAGTAGCTACAGGATCTTAGGCTCATTTTAAGCTGAGTGTGAAACTTTCCCCTTTGATATTTTATAAACTATGAACTTGTTTAATCTATTCAAGGACTTCAAGGGAATACGAAAAGAGTCGGGATCTTGGTTTGTTTTTTTAATATATTTGATATATATTTTTTTTAATGCAAAGGAACAGGCTCAACAAACCAAACCACAACTAAACCAGTTTGAGCCATTTTTATAGAAAACAAGAAGTAAAATCTGACCAATACCTTTCTTTTATCTGCATCAATTTTAGGTCCAGCGCAGATAGTAATTCTTCTTTTTTATACATTAACTATGTATTTTAAGGAGATATGTATGTATCTGCTGAGTATTTGCTGTGATTTTAGTTTTAAAAGTTATTTTCTTTCCCAAAACAAGTATGAACAACCCTAAAAAGGTCTGAATTTACCCTCTCGCGACGTCGCAGTCGTGCTGATGTTAGTGGCAAGGTGTTTATTAGTAGTGAGTCTTCACTCATTTTAGAGATACTACCAGTCAAACGGCCCTCATATAAATCCTCTAAGAGTATTTCTTCAGCTCCTTTAGGTCTCGGGGCAGCAAAAACTAGCATGTGACAACCACCACAAGCAACCTAGAGCACCAAAAAATGTTGAATTTTAAATTGCTTCAAAATTAGCTCCTAATGATGTTAGCATGATAGAAGTACATAATTACAATTACTAATCACTAGTGATCTATGTTCATTCTTTCTTACTTAAATACAATATACTAGTATTGAACAGAACCCAAGATAGGTCTATCAAATCAATGATACAGAAGAAAGCAAAGATATTTCCACTGATTTTGAAGGGATTTGAGCTAATTATTTTTATGCAAGTCAAATGTGGGCAATATCGATAACTTCAGTGATACAAACCTAGATATTTCCTCACAAAATCCACAGAATGTAATGCAAAGTCCTACACCCTCCCATAAACAAAATATAATTACTAAAACTTTATTAAACTCTGAGTCCAGTAAACAAAAATATGTCACTCAGGTGTTTTCAGAACAGACATTAGTCTTCCACCTACTGTTAACAATCCACAAGAGACAAATATATTTTATAGGCTACTACCAGCTCTACAGCATAACACCACTGACTAAAACAGAAAGCAGTCTATATGTATACTCCAAGCCAAGTACATTCTAAACTAAATTAACAGTGTGTTAAGTAAATGAAATTTCCCTTTTCGTTTTGTGTTGTCTACTAATCAAGTTTTCTATAAAAAATAATTCTATAATGAGATTTTAACTCTCACTAATAACGTGTTTTATAAAAATGTAAACATTTTGATGTCTGAGAAGCATGAACAAAAGTTTTACCAAAAGGACTGTGAACCTCAAGAAATTATAACATAGAGTGGGATCAAACTGATTTGTAAAATTCTCTTCTCCATGACCTAACTTGCCATGTCGCCCATCTCCAAAAGTAAACATGAGGCCATTCTCTGTATACAGAAAAAAAAAAAAAAAAAGAAGCCATTAATAACAGAGTCAGTACAAAACCAGGACAAAACCCTTACAAATGAAGTAACAGACCATGCAAGAAAGGAATATTTCTCTTCCTGAGAACCCTGAACAAATACTTTCAGATTGTCAACAGATGAATATGATGAAAAAAAGTAATTATTTTTAAAGACAAATTATATATTTTTTCAGCCAAATTACTGTTGGAGATTAGAGTTAGTCTAGACAATTTGGGGGAAAAAAAACCCAACAGCAAAACATTAGGATTGAATACTACAGCAAAACAAAGGTTTGAAATAAGAATACTTGTCAGCAAGGCATGATTATGAGGTTACCAGGAGACACCATGTACAGAACTATGCATGCCAGGGCTGTGAATAAGGAATTATTAAAATAAAATACGGCTTTCTCACTAGGTCACTTAACCTTCAGAACTAGTAAATCTCCATGTGGTCTTCTGCTCATCTTCAGTGAAAAGTTTTTACAGGATAATAGAGAGGTACATTTCAGAATATAGAGAAGCACATGCATTTTTTGTAATAGAGAAGAACTTTCAGAATTTTTCACTTACATACCTGTAACTACAGCAGTATGATTTTCTCCACATGTAACATCACGGACTTTATGCTTCCTCAAGTGTTTCACAGACTTTGGTACTGAAGTTTCAAAAATAAAAGTACCATGTCCCAGCTGCCCATATTGTCCAAGTCCAAAAGTATATACATCTCGTTCTGGAAATGTACAGGCAATGTTAACAACAAATAGGCTGATGCATGCATTATAATCTGCTTTCTATTAGCCAAGTTAAAGTCAAATAACATCAGCATCAAAAAGCAATGTTTTATCAATTGGGAAATTAACCAACTAATCAATTAAATTTATCAATTCATAAAAAAATAAAACAAAATAAAAAGCAGGCAATGACACACTAAAATATATATAAAAATAATTTTGAATGGTTCAATATGAAATGAATTATCCAATATCACTGCAAAATAATCCACTGAACACACATATACAAAGTATTAGCTAACAAAAAATGTATTGGAGTTTACATACTGAAATTAATTCAAGACCACAATGTTTACATATATCTGCATTTTCAAGTGCAATAGTTTCATCTTAATTTCTGGTTACCTGCATGTACACCATATGGCCCTAAAGTTAACAGAGTAGACCTCTTTGAACCAATACTAATTTGAGTGTAAAAAGAGACTGGAATAATAACAGAATAGGTATTCTGTTGAGCCACCAAATCAGCCCAGCATTAACTACAGAAAACACCATAATTTTGTTATCTTCTGACAGAATAATAATCTTTCCACATCTACATTTTGTCCATTTAATGGATTGTCTGTGCCAGGAAAAAGAATGCTTCTCCAAAGCAATAAAGATTCTTGGTGTGTCCATCCCTGGCACCCCATCGCAACAAGGGAAGACCGTGAAGCTTGGAAATCTTTATGAGATCGTATTTGAAAAGGGAAAGTCAAAGACTTAAGGTTGTTTTGAGAAAAGGAGAAGCTTTCCTGGAATTTTATTCCCTGTCCTCTTGTGAAAGACTGAGGGACAAAAAAATATTCCATGTCAAGCAAAAAGACCTGAGACTTGGGAGTAATATGTCATTACATCATTGTCATGAACATGGTGCACCTGCTCCTGCTGCACAGGTGCCATCAAGTAAAACATCTCACCGCCTTCTAAAGCAATAGAGGAATGGGTGTGCACAGCTGAATGTGTGGAATGACAATCCATGGATATTGTTTTCTTTTTGAGCACTTCTTTTTGTCAAGGAAGCAAGGTCACTGGAATAGCAAGGTAAGTTTCAGTTTCACAGAAGTAGTTTATACTGTGCAAGCAAATTCTCAAAGCCACAATCTGGAGAAATATTAAAACTAAATGATGTTACTGCTCCTCCAAACTAATCCTTCCCTACTATCAGGGATTGAGAAAGCAGAGAATAGAATAGATTCCATATTACTACCACAGCACACTTAATAACTTACATTGAACTTTATGATTTCAAAGGAACAGTGATGAAATACTGTAGTACTACATATGAATATGTTCCTTCTAGGAGATGTCCTTTCTGCCCTTTTACATTTTTATATAGTAAGATGTCATGAATTCACACCATAAAAAAACCCAGTGGTCTCACACTTTTCAGATTGTAGATGAAATATACTGGGTAAAGCTGTTTTTTTACTAAATGCAATAGTAAAGCTCCCTCTGCTGGTAATCTCAGTGCAAGAATGCAACACATCAGGATATTTAATAAAGTAAAATAAGATTAATTTTTTTGTAACATTTCAACTTTCTGCACAAGAATTGAGAAACTACTCATGAAAGACAGGAGCTTTCCCTAAGCAAACCGAAGCCTCATCTTCATTTTAGTAAATGGTTTTCTTAGGATGACTTATTCCATAAATTCTGTTTTAGAAGTATTTCTTTGCAAACTGGCAGATCTTCTAATTTTCAAATTATATGGCTTTATCGGATTAACAGAATTATTCTGAGTGAAGTTGGAGGTTTTTCACATTATCTTTAATCCTTGCTTGAAACATGCAATGCCTTTTGCATTTGTGTTCTCAAATGAGATGTTCTCAAATGCTAAACATACAGGAAACTATTTTCTTTTCTCTGTTTTCACTGAAAATGAAGAAAACAGGCCAATTCAAAACCAAGTTAAGAGTGCCTTTGTAAGAAGAATTATTTATTCTACTGACTCTATAGACCAAGTAGACCTAAATTTTGCTCCTCCTGAATTTGCTTGTCAGCCAATTATCAAAGCACAAGAAGGCAAAAACCTTACAAGTTTCTTCAATGATTCATCACTGTGGTGCAAAAGTGAGGCAAAACCTCAGTAATTATCTCATTTAGCAGAATTAGATATTTCCTGCCATTTATGTTTATAAATACATGGAAAGAGAAGTCTATGGCAAAGCAACTTCATGGACTTACTGACAAAACCACTGAGGTGAATTTCATTATTATGAACTTGAATTTGCATACAGCACAAATCCAAAAAGTGATACCACCTCACTGTTACCTTCTTCTTACTCTCTTCAGTCCCATTAAGAATATGGTTGGATGAAACAAATGAAAGGCACTGACAGCAAACGGCTAAATTTTCCTCCCCAATTCTCCCTCTTCAGTCCCCACTTGCCCTGCCTGCTGTCCACCTGGCTGTGCAGAGCCAGCTTTTGCATTTTTTTGATGTGGAACGGTGAAGACAGCACCAGATGGTACAAGGGGAGGGGAAAGACATACAGCCACAGCAGCATGAGGGAAGTAGTGCTGCCTCCAATGCAGCAGTGAAGCACAAGGAAGGCTCAGCCATCTTTTCAGCACCTAGGGGAAAGGAAGGAACTGCCACCTCGATAGCAGCAACCCATAAGAAAGGCTCTTGGAGGATGAAGAGAAAGTTTCAGAGCTTGCACAGAAGCCAATGGCTTCACTGCTCCAAGTGAATTCCAGCACTTGATCACTGGGATTGCTTCCTCTTTATTTCCTACATTTTCTTTTTTGTATGAACAGGTTTATTTCCCTGTAAATATCTATCTTCCACCTTTCCAGGAATCTTCTGGAGTATGTATCAGCTCTTTAATTGTCAGGACTGTTATCACTGTAAATAAAATAGTCCTAGGCAAAAAATCTATACAGCTTTCAGATTTTTTTTAACACATGCAGTTTGCTGAAAGAACTGAGAGAGCTCCAAGAGTGTTTTTAAGATTTTCGCTATGCATTTAAGGCTAAAGACAAAGTTAAAAATTCACAAAAGAAAGGGAGAAACAGACAGGTATGCTTATATATCTCCACGTAGATTCCTTTCCCTTGAACACTATTAATATTATTATTATATTTATTAGCATTAATGATGATGATGATGTTAATCATAATAATAAATCAATGAACCATTCTGTCTTACTATTGCTTTATTTTAAACAGTTTATGCTTCAAAATGTTACTGTAAAAATAAGCTGTCAATACAATACTGAGTTTTACCAGAGCTAGTAACTACAGTTGGGGATTTTTGTATAAATGGTATACAGACTTTAAGAATGGTTTGAAAAATCTAGAGAATCCTATACAGTTTGAACAGTCAGTTCTGTCATGAAAAGGTAGTGCTTTTTCATCCTTTTCTTTCTCTGTCAAAGGGGATCTTGACTTTTTTTCTTTTTTTAAAGAAAAAAAGAGACTGAAGATGAAAAAGACAACATTTTACATACTAACACACAGATATGCTGTGTTTTTATGTCAAACGATCTGTTCTTGAAGGACTGCTTCACTTTTTCTTATGAAGACCTATCTTCGCTTTCCCTCCCTTCAGAGAATAAAGGAGGTAATACATACTTTTATAAAGAGGATTATTCCCAGAGGAATTGTCATCATCTGAAAAAATGGAAGATATTCAGGCCACTCCCAATCATCTATTTCTTCTCCAATATCTAGATTCACAAATTATGATTATTCAACTTTTTAAAAACCTTTACTGAAAAAAGTACACAAATTGGGATTGCTGCACCCTCATATTTCTTTTGAAAGTGTTGACACCAATGGCCTTCATTTGCAGTAGGATGCATTTGCAAGAATCATGGGTACTGGATGCATTTTTTTTACTTTGAGAGAACTCATCTGGGATGAGGATACAATCTTCTTGAACTGGATGGTAGACTGTCACAAAATGAATACATTTGTGCTGCTACAGTGAGAGAAAGCTTTTGCATGACAGAATTTTTAACTGCAATTCTGCAAATATTAAAGGCAGGAATAGCAATAAAACTTGTAAGAAAAATGGTTTCTAATACCATATTCAAGATTTCTAAAACCTTGTAGTTTTAAAACAGTTTTTTTAATAATAATTGCTTCAACAATTTTTTGCTCTCTGGGAAAAACAAACAAACAAACAAACAAACAAAAACCCCTGAGTTTCCCATTTTGAAGTTTCAGAGAAAAAAGAGGAATTACTTCAAACTACTTTCTGTCATTTAGTCCAATACTTGCTGGTGAGATTCTAAACAGGATTTAATAACCCAGATAACAGTAGTTCTTAACATACAAAACTGCCAATAGTATAGATAATTCAGTCATAAAAAAGAAATCAAATGAAGTGTTTTGAAAGAGACTAATTATGTATGAGAATCAGGAAGAAACTATCTTCATACCCAGGAAGATAACTGGATTATGCTTTCTTCTAATTTGATAAACCCTAAGTAGAACTGATGACACGAAATGAGCCAAGATGTGCAGCAGCTTCTCCATATCACATTTTCTCCTGTCCTATTCCTATGTTAAATGAGATAGATGAAACAGTGGAATATACAAGTCAGTCACTCACTCATTTTTAAAAACTGAAATGACACACCCTGAAAAACTGGAAAGACCCTGAAAAGATGAAATCCTCATCAGTATGTACTGTGTTACTAGAGCTAAAGAGCTTCCATTTTCACAGCAGACGATGCATGAAATTCAGAATTTCTTCAAACTTGTATTATGTTCTTTATTTAGGAAAATGAGCTTGAAAGGTATAGAAAGGTTTCTGCTCCACTTCATCAGAGGGATATCCATCATCTCAATTTGTGATCATGTCACTTCATCTCAAGATGCAATATACACTTCAGTATTGAATTAAAGTTAAGTTTCTAGTGCAAAGCCTATAATGCATGTATGCTACACTCACTATTTCAAATTATTATAATGTCCAAATCTATCTCTTTTCCCAATTTTTTGCCCTGATAATTTTCCAAATTTTGTTTTGAGTCAGAAACATTTCTGTATGTCAACACTCCTGCCAAAGTATCTTTCACTTGGGACAGTATTTCCATTATCCTCGACTTCTTAGTTCAGTGTCTTAAGCAGAAATTCATACCTGTAGCTTGTTTAATAATAGTTTAATTACATTAAAAAACATCTATCTGACCTTTCACTCTTATCACAACCACTATTGCTCTTTAGAAAAATGTATTTTGTTGGAAGATATTGTTTTCTCTTGACTCAACTTCATCTTCTGGCACGCACTTTTATCATTGACTGTCAGCTGAGCCAGCAGTGAATTGCTTAATTGCCTTCTACTACAAAATCTATTCCCATAGGCAAATAAATCTTACTTACTAAGGCACTGACTTACTATGGTGTTTTCTTCACTGTATTTGGTTTTTGGCATTTATATTTTGCCTCTTTGTTCTAGCTTTTGTACAGATTTCATTATAATGCTGATGTCATCCAGGTCTACATCTTCCTACTAAATCTCTGTAACAGTAATTTGTTATAATGAAGTTTTATCACATGAAATACCATTAAAACAAAACATCTGTTGGTTGGCTTCAGATTTATAGTTAAAAAATAATCAATAATGATAATCAAATTCTTTTTGCAGAGCTTTATAACCCATAAAATAATGCTATGATTTCTGTATTTGCTACCCCAAATTTATGGTAATTTTTTCCCTAATAATGATAATCTAATTTCATATAAAGAAATTTATGCTATGACATAGAATACTGCCAGAGTAAGACTGCATGTGAAAGAAGAGACAAACGCATTGAAACGTAGACAAATGTTTGCATTATTTCCTGGACTGGCACTGCTATTTCCTCTTCACAGTTTTCCCAAACTCATCATTACACATAATCATTCCCAACACATCACTTCCACCTTTATTCTCTCCAGTGGCTTGCCGTACAACACCACATCATGTTACTTACAACTTCAGTTAGATTTTAGATTTTAGTAATTTTGGCTACATAACCTTAAAGGCACTTCAACAGATTGACAACAGATGGCTTGCACATTTTCAAAATACAGATTTAAAGACTGATATTTATACAACCTACTTGGTTTTATAGTTTTTGCATTTTGGTAGGAGAGTAATTACAGACATATTGTACAACTGTGAAATTCATTGCAAGCCAAAGCTGATATTTTTTTTTAATCATCTGTGAATAAAGTCAAACTCTCCTTTTCTGCTTCTGTAGTACTATAGTTCAGCATAGAACTTGTGGAAATAAACAGCTAGCAATGCTTTGCATGTATCTCTTTGAAAAGCTAACTTACTACTCCTCTGTTACAGTTAGCTGGCAAAGTTTATTCTGCAACAAAGGCCCATGAGCAGCCCAGGCCTGAATGTCAAACCATATGCACTGCACAGCACAGGCCTGCACTTAGTTTAATTGTTAAATAGATTCCTATGCTCTTACTAGACAATGGTCTTCCAGTTAGGATCACTACAGAATCTTACACTTCAGTAGGATATAAATTCTTTGAAGTAAATTGAATTTACTAAGTTAAATTACATTGCATACCTGTCAGCACCACTGTGTGTTCTGCACCACAAGCGACCTTATTAACCTTTTCCATAATTCCCAGTACGTGCTGTGGGACTCTATTGTTCTTCAGCTGCTCAGGCAATAATCCCAGTTTCCCATTCTCAGGTTCTCCAAAAGTATAGAGCTCACCATCTCCTGTGAAAATACAGAAGAGAGGAGGACTTCTAAGCATGTGCTCAGAAGCGGGTTTGGGTTGTCAAGACCACTGCAGACACAAATCAGTACAACAGAAAAGTGTACAAATGTTACAGGATTATTGAACATATTTCTATGATATCCAAACAGCTGTGCAAAGTAGTCTGTTTTGATAGGAAAAGAAGCCTCTCTCCAAGATGAGAACCACAACATTTAGCCTGCAAGGAATCTAGCCAGGAGAAAAATAAAACCATATACATCCTGATTCTGAGAAGGTATAACTCCCTTTCTAATCAGTATTTATGTCAACTGAAGTTGTAAGAATCTCAAAACAGAAACTTATTTTGCATGGAATTTTGATGGAAAATCCACACTTTGTTCTTGTAAGATACAGAGAAAAAAAGAAAAAAGCAGAGTTAATGACAGGAAACTGTGTGTGGTCCAGACAGCAAGAAGGGAGCTTGCTGTCCAACAACAGGAACACAGTAGTGGTTCCATAGCAATAACTCCATCAGAATTAAGTTAAAAAAAATACTAAGAGGTCTTTACAGATCTCTTCCTGTGACTTATTTCTGATCTGCTACATAATCATACAAGACAACCCTTCTCATTCACCTAGACTTTTTAAGAATCCAGTTCAAAACCAGTTTCATCTCAAATTTGGGTAATTAATTTTACTTCCAAGTTTCCTTTTATCTTTTTCAATCATTCCCTTTGCTTTTTCACTGCTATGTAAGTCTGAATCACCATTCAAGACAGCATTCTATACATCCTTCTACAATAGTGAAAAATGGAATGTGTGAAATGTACTTCTCATTGCTATATTCTGGGCCCAGTCTTATTCAACATCTTCATCAATGACCTGGATGAGCAGATGGAGTGTATCCTCAGCAAATCTGCTGATGATACAAAGCTGGGAGGATTGGCTGATACACTGGAAGGCTGTGCTGCCATTCAGCAAGATCTAGACAGACTGGAGAGCTGGGAAAAGATTAACCTAATGAGGTTCAACAAGAGTAAGTGTACAGTCCTGCACCTGGGGAGAAAAAAAACCATGCACCAGTACACATGAGGGGTTGAACTGCTAGAAAGCAGCCCCATGGAGAATGTCCTGGTGGACAACAAGTTATCTATGGGTCAGCAATGTGTCCTTGTAGCCAAAAGAGCCAATAGTATCTTGGAATGTATTAGGGTGGCCAGCAGGTCAAGGGACATTCTCCTCCCCCTCTACTCTGCCATTGTAAGACCACATCTGGAGTATTTTTTTCCAGTTCTGGGCTCCTCAGTTGAAGAGTGTCCTGGTTTGAGCCAGGATAAAGCCAATTTTTCTTTTTACTGATTTTTTTTTCCTTCAGTAAGCTTTCTTGTAGCTAGCAACAGTGTGTTCTGCTAGGCTGATAAGACAGTGGAATGTTTTTCTAACTACTGAGGCTTCGAGGCTGCACCTGCACTCTGCCAGCTCAGACACTATGGGGAGATCTGTGACCCCCCCCGTAGGAGGCTGAGTTAGATGGACAGCAAAATTGGCCAAAGATATTCCATTCCATATATCTACGTAAGCTCAGAGGAAGGTCAGAGATCACAGAAGACTCTCTCGTGACCCCCATAACTCTCTGCTTTCTCCAGCAGCAGCTCAGAGATTCCTCGGGACTCTTCCCAGTTCAGGGAAGTGCTGTGGGAGTTGCTGGGGTGGGGGGAGGCGAGAGGCTTTTTGCCCATACCTGAATCTATCTGTATATAATTGTATATTTTTCTTGTATCATTCATTAGTGTTTTAATTAAAGCTGTGTAGTTTAGTTTTCAATCCAGCCAAGTCTCTCTCTTTTTCTCTCTCTCCTTCCCTACCTGGGTTGGGGGGAGGGGGGATCGAGAGCATTGTTGTCGGACCTGAGTCAAACTGTGACAAAGAGGGACAGGGATATACTGGAAAGAGTCAATAGAGAGCTACGAGGATGATGATTAAGGGACTGGAACATCTGCCATACAAGGAAAGGCTGAGAGACCTGGGCCTGTTTAGTCTTGAGAATAAAAGACTAAGTGGGAAGGGTGGATGTCAAGAATGGACCAATCTCTTTTCAGTCATGCCCTGTGATAGGACGAGGGGGAATAGCACCCAGTTACAACACAGGAAGTTCCATCTCAACGTGAGGAAAAACTTCTTTACTGTGAGGGTGACAGAGCACTGGAACAGGCTGCCCAGAGACGTTGTGGAGTCTCCTTCTCTGAAGACTTTCAAGACCCATCTGGACACATTCCTGTGTGATCTGCCCTTGGTGTTTCTGCTGCAGCAGCACGGTTGGACTTGATGATTTTCAGAGATGCCTTCCAACCCCTATGATCTTCTTCTTACAATTTGCCTATATATACATTTCTGATTTGCCATGCTAGGGGGCCCCTAACTATTCTAATTGGCCAGAGTGAGGTTTAGGTAGAAAATATTTCTTTACTGTCAGGAAAGTTTCAAGTTAATAGCTGAGTGTTCTCCACTGCTGAAAAGAGACCATGGAGTAGTGATCTCATAGCAAATTGTGGTCTACAAGAGATAATGTGATTTTTAATATAGTTGAGCTTCAAATTTATTCAAATGCATAAATTTATCAATTAACTTGAAAAATCTGAAAAAAGTATGACATTCCCGCAGAGGAAAACCTGTGAAAAGGACTTTTTTTTCATAAAAGCTGAATTCCTGCTTTAAATGGAAAACAGGTCCTAAGCCTCAATACAAAGTTGGAGCCCAGCACTTCCACCAAAGATTTAGATCCTGATTTTGATGGCACAATATTTATTTGTAAAGCTGACAAGTCCTAAGATATTTTAGCTTCTGCCTTAGTCAAGGAAACCCCAGACTAGTCATCCACAGTCTACTCACAGAGCTACATTCTCTTCAGCAAGACAATGAAACAGGATAGCACCTGTACCTGAGATCTCAGATGTAGAAAAGTGTATTTCATTTATATATCTAAACTACAGACTATGTTTAGGCTTCTCTGTTCAGTTTGATTTTCTGTCTTAATTCTGATCTTTATTCTTATACCTACACACAAAAATACTCTGAACAGGCTAACAGTTTGCAGTTATTTGCAGCACGCATTTTCTATTCTAAAAGAGTAGCCCAATTAACAACAAAAACATCAAGTGCAATGTGAGGCTTTCTGTAACCAAAATATTCAATTGACAGAAAGAAATTTTGTTAGGGACTCCAAGGGAAAGCAAATAAAAAATCCAACAACAAAAAGAAGTCTGTATTTTTTTGAATGTAAGTATCATGTTACTACTCTTGGATTTGCCATATATTTCTAGAACCAAGCTGTTGAACCCCCAAAAGCACTTGGGAGTTAACTGCTTATGCAGTTCTCTTTGAAGAGACAAGCACTTCTTTTTAAACACTACTGCACTGCAAATATTAATCCAATCACAATCTAATTAATAGGATTAGCGATTCAAACGACCAAGCTTCCACTGACTTCCTGAACTAATCAAGTTTATTACATTTTTTCAACTTAATAATCCAGCTAACAAAGATAAACTTATTTATTAAGGCAATTTTTTAATACATTACACATCCCTTTAAGGCAAACAGTAGTCTAAAAACTATGAAAAATATCTATTGAGCATAAAAAGAACCTAGCAAAACCCAGATATATTTTGAGTGCAGTATGTGTGCAGTACATTTGCATTTTGAGGACATTTTGTTCACAATGGAACCTGTCTATTTAAATTTCTTCTTTCATCAGTCACATTTTTCACACATTCAACCTTCCCTAGTGTGGCACATTTTCTGTATCACAATATTTTACGTCACAGGAGCATGTCAATGAAATGGGCAAGCAAATAAAGAACTATCGTTGCCCCTCGAAGAAAAATGTGCATACTGCAGATGACAGAAGATACCAGACCTGTCTGGTGGCAAATGAGGGCAGTAGACAAAAGAATTGTATCACTTCATGATCCATTAAATAAATAAAAATAAAATAAGTATTTATTCAAGATCAAATTGGTTGAAACCACCTCAAACACTGATGTTCTGAGTATGGAAGTGTTTGTGGAACGGGTGTTTTTTTTACTTTCATATACATTAACAAAAGGTTTTCAAGGAAAATGCAAAGCTCTCCATGAAAAGTCATCTTCTCAGTGAAAATCTATCTTAACCTGCTTATAGTAACAGTTCAGGCAAGCGAAGCAGCAGAAGAGTTCTAATATATTCAACTTCTTTCTGGCTTTTCAGCAGTGGTTAGGTACACTGCCTTTTCCTGTTCTCCATCTCCTCTGGTGGACAAATGAGTTATATAAGCTCGCCAAGCTTAATGCTTTCTGAAAAATTTTCCTGTCTTATGTGAGTGTGGTCTAAGACTAGACAACTAAAGATCTATCCATAGTCTCAAAATCATTGCTACACTCTTTCACCTCTTTTTTCTCTGCTGCTTTGTTTGGGACATACCTTTAAGATGGGGACCTAATGTCCCAAGTCTGCAAAAACAAAGGAAACAGATACTGGGAAAAAGTCCTAAAGAAGGCTGGAAATTATTAATTAAAAACTTCTGTTCAGTGGAAGTCACTGAAGAATGCAAAATGAGAGGAAAATGGAGGAAACAATCCTCTTTCAAATGCGGAGTAAACAGACCAGCTTCCTAATTTGTGTATGGTAATGAGCTAGCCATTGTCTGTCCTTGTGCCTAGTCTAAATTTTAGAAATCTTTTTCATTAAAAATAATTCAGGATATATTCTGTTCTATTCTACAACTACCTTTGGCATCAGTGGGGCCCACATGTACATGGTAAAATATAGGTGAGATGTAAACATAGTTGATTTTTCATCTGCAAGGAAGGCATTCTAAAAGGCAACAGTAACAAAGGTGACAATCTTTTTTGGAACTACTAGATTTGAGAAACTCTGGGGGGGTGGGTTGTACCACTGAAGTATAAATTCAGATGATTAACGCTGTACAATTTCCACAAAACAAATGTTTATCTAATACAGGTTTGCATTAGGATTCCACTCTCGTTTTCATTGACATTGCACTTGGCTTTGCAGCAGTTTAACACCTTTAAGACTAATGCCTGCTAAAAATCTTCTCTAAAGGCAGCTGTTTCAAAGAAACAACTGCTTTAGGGTGGGTTGTTTTGTTGTGTTGTTTTTTTTTAAAAAAAAAAAGCTGAAATCGATATTTCATTACTTTGTTTCTCAATATTCTCTTATTAATGAACATCCTGCCCTGGAGAGGGCACTCTGCGACCACACTATGTATTCTGGTATCCTCATTAACCACCTTCTAGTTTTAACCCAGATATGGTTGTGCTCCTAACTGCTTGCTTAGCCAGTATACAGCTTATGTCATAAATAATTATAATAAGGGAAGCATATGGTGCCAAGCTCATCATTTCAGCCCCACAACATGCATCAAGTGCTACATCCTGCAACTATGTTTCAGTAATAGATAGTATATTATTTTATGTACAAATGATGTTTAAAAAGTCAAAATGTAGTAATTCTATACTATTCTAGTAACTTACACGTTACAGGTTTTGAAAGCCTTCTATTAACAGTGTTTCTCCCACTTCTTCCATACTAACAGCAACCACAATCTAAAAGCAGTTCTTCTGGTATGCTTTATTGAGGGAATTAATACAGATTATACACTCACATTAATAGTTCAAATTTCATTTCTGGAAATACAGAACCACTTTCTTTTCCAGGCATCTCCTCCAAAATTATATATTAAAAAGAACACTATCCATTCTAAATTCTAGTATACAAGTTAAAACCTTACAGGAAAAATACACGGAAAGCTCCCTAGGCTAGGCAAGCTTTTAACCATACTTGAAGGTATACTCAATGACCAACTGGCAACCTGTGGGGATAAAAGCCTATCCCTGCAATATGCATATTCCAAATACTCCATAATTACCTCGTTTGCTATATTTTACCACAGCTCAGTGGCAGAATACTGAGGATGTGAACCACTGTTCTAAGCCAGTCTAGCAAGTCCCATAGATAAGTGTTTACCATAAGCAAAAAAAGAATCCTAATAATAGTAAAACAATCACATTTTTTAAACAGAATCTTTTAACAGTATAGTGCCTTGACTTCTTTCCTAACTAGGCTTTAAGAAAAATACGGTAGCTACATTCGTACTCAAATTCATAATTTAATGGTTAACTTCATAGCTAAAATAATCTAAGACTACGGGACACTTAGATTCAATGCATAAGCTTTGTTTTTAAACACTGCTGGGATATACACTGACACAAGTGCAAGCAAAGATCAATTCAGTAACAGTACCTGGATGTCCAGCAAGGGCTCAAAGGAAAATAATAAAAATATTTCTTCTTTCACTACAAAAGAGGCCATCTGTGTGCCAGCAGTACCGCTATCAGCGAGATATATTGAAGCCACGTTTGTGCAGGATTTGCAGATACTAAGGTTGAAAATGAAGACTTTCCATCTCACACCCAGGCCCGCTTAAAAAACAATGGGTTCAACAACTCCCCATATTCAGAGGTGATAACCAGTACATCTTGTTATTAATATTTTAAGAGGCTTCATTTCTCTTACCCAGCAGTTCCCTTAAACCTTTTGTCTCATCCCTCCACCCCATTAACAGTTTCCACTTCCTTAGAGCATCCAGCACACACAGTTTCTTTAGGTGCTTGTTTTCAACCTTTCTTTTAATAAGAGTTCTTGTCACATTCCACCGCAGACTTGTCAAGACCTTCAGCTCTTGGGTCTAAGGCAGAAATACACACTTTCTTACTATGCCCTTGATCTAAGGATTTTTATTTTTTTTTTCCCATTATTTTGAGCTCAGGAAGCTGTGTATTTTCTAACAGGTGCTGAGCCTGTGATCAGAATCACTGCATTAATTTACTGTAATAAAACATCTGTAATAAAAGTTGCACATGACCAGCATAACACCCAATTAGTGTTTGTCCACCATAAGATAAAAGCATATTCTCAGAGTTATATACATATTGTATGTGGAAAAGTAACATTTATCAAGTAACCTGCAAACAGTATCTGACTGAGTAGCTCCTGGGTACCCATTAAAAGCTTTAAAATCAAAACTATTAATTGTTTGAAATCTTTCCTCTGAGGAGACTAAACTGTAAAGTTTAATAAAGTAAATCTATATGGCTGAGAACAATTTGTAGCTGCTCATATATAATACCATCAGTACTGACTGATCAATTCACCATGTTGGCATTATAAAAGCATGAGTGGCATCATCACCTTGGAAACCAACAGAGAAGAGAGAGCTGGAAAACAACAGAGAGGTGGGTAGGTTTGGAGATCAGAGACAGATTTACTGCAGTGTATGCTTCCCATATCATATTCTGCCTGTTTAACTGACTTCAAAGCTTAAAATTAAAGAACAAAAATCTTGCATTGCCAGCAAATGAGATTAAAATTTTCTCAAAACATACTAAGTCTAGTCAAAATTACATTTCTAGAGAACATGATTATTATTATTTGATCACCACCAAAACTGAATAATCCCAATAAAAGCTGTATTCTTGAAACAGTAATATTAATCTACAGTTGTCATAACCTTTATGAAAATGAAGTGTGGCAAGACAGTAATTATATCTAATATAATTTTGCAAAACAATATGCAAATGCAGAAAACTGCAGGTTTTTTTCTCACAGCACTGTTACTACAACAATAATATAAAATTATACAGTAGATTACATACAAGTTTCCCAAATAAATCAACTAGGATCACATTTCTGCCACATGGCAGTTTTTAACAACTATGGCATATCTAGTTTCAAATGCCTCATAAAATACCTTTACAAAGACAACAGTTTGAGAACCATTGACTTGTCTCCACTAACTGCTATTCCCATTCTCTTACCTGTTATCAAGGCAGAGTGATAATATCCACAGGATACAGAGGAAACTGGTTTACCAACATCCACTTGGCAAGGGACACTGACACAGGCTTCATTAGCCAAGCCAATCTGACCTTCTGAATTGTCACCCCACACAAAAAGCTGCCCATCCTCTAAAATTAAGACACAGAGAGTTAACAGATTTAATACCAAAACAAATAAAAAGTTAATCTACTAATGTAAATGCATTTCATAAACTCAGGGACATTAAATTATATTTAAAACAATGCAACAAAACAGTCTGAAGTAAGAGAGCATCCTTTATGCTTTTCAAAATGGACACAGAACAGTTAGTCATCAACTGATGTTAGACCATAAATAGCACCAGGAAAAGTTCTATGTAAAAATGTTCCCTCAAAAAGAGGAAGATTGAGCATAGAAAACTACTCAGTTGCCAGAGGTCAGTATGAAAATATTATGGTAAATTTAAGGCATCTTCTCACTTCTAGTAGCATGTCACCACGTTCTCATTATTCCAGACTTATTTTCTGTTCTGACTTTGGTACACATCCTACCTATTCTTGCCTTATCTTTCATTTCCTTTCAAAGGTGAGTGTATTGCCCAGTTTCATTTTGTTTTCCTTAAACTATCACAATAGCTGTTCCAGGTTCATTAAGACCAGCCTCTTGTGACACAAAGACCAATGGCAACAGTGAAAACCAAAAAAAAAGGTAGTGAACAACATGAAAAATATATAGATTTTTCTAGAAGAGATAAGGTCTTCTCTCTGCTTCTTTCCCATTGGTGGCAAATAAGTTGTGAATAAAAAAACCATACCATGGACAGTGCTACTGAGATGCTGTTGGGAACTAAAGTAATTCAAAGTTGACTTACAAACTTCAGGAGAAAGTTAGCAATTGTCAAAAAAAAAAAAAAATTACAAACCAAATGAGCAGACTAACATATCTCTCATAGACTCCTATGTTCTCTGTCACATACCAAAAAGGCAGCCTCAATAATTTATCCTAAATATGTACAGAAACAGCTCCTTTATAACAGAAGTCAAGAAATTACATTATAGAGTAATAAAGGACCACCCATCCAATGGATGAAAGTATTATAACATGTGTGGCCTTCAACATGTTGCAATTGTATAACTTTGCCATTAGAGAAATAGGTTGTAGATCAGGCCTGTCAGAATTAGTAATGACACAGCTGTGCGGCATGTATCAGTAGACCAAAACAGTTGCAATAAATTCATCAGAGTCACACAGTGGTCAGGGTTAGAAGGGACCTCGAAAGATCATCTAGTCCAACTCCCCTGCCAGGCAGGATCACCTAAAGTAGATCCCACAGGAACACATCCAGGTGGGTTTGAATGTCTCCAGAGAAGGAGACTCCACAACCTCTCTGGGCAGCCTGTCCCAGTGCTCTGTCACTCTCACAGGAAAGAAGTTTTTTCTGATGTTTACGTGGAACCTCCTGTGCTCCAGTTTGTGCCTGTTGCCCCATCTTCTCATTGTACATTACTGAAAAGAGACTAGAGAAACTTAGTTTCCATAAGATTCATGTTTTGTAGTTGGCTTCCCTGGAAATTAACTGAAGACTTTTTTCCCATTTTGCCAGTATTCATACTGTCTCTCCTTTGTAAGGTTTCCTACTAAACTAGTAGAGGTTGAGCTCCCATTGCAGGCTCAGGGAAAAAGTTTACTTTCACAAAAATTTTTGAAACTACCACCCATTACCAAATTGTGGTGAAATAGGCAATTGACTATCAACAAATGACTATGGTTACCAGGGAAAGAAGACAGGGAGGCACAGAAAATACACCCACATATGCAGACAGAATGCTGGAATTAATGTTTGCCTGGAACAACAGGCTAGAAATGCATAAACTGATTCTATTAGCGGTTGCTCTTACCAGTTACTGCTGCTGAGGTGTATGATCCAGCTGCTAGCTGCTTGATCTTGTGCTGGTTGGTAAAAAAACTGATTAAATGAAATGTAGTCCTTTCCTCTGTGTCACCTAATCCCAACTGACCTTCACTGTTACCTCCAGCAGCATACACATTTCCTTTTTCTGCATACAGAAAAGCACATGCAATACATGGAATGAAGACATTCTCATCAGTGGTAAAAAGTCAGAGAAACTGGAGCAATTAACTTAATTTTCAATGGAAAAACATTATAGAAAAATTGGTCTACTGCCCTGAAATATCTGTAAGCTGACATTAGCAGTTTCTGTTCTAGATAGCAAGGAGGATTTCCTGCACACGTGTGGATCACAACTTTTTTAAGTACTTTGAGTGTGTTTCCCACCATTCTGAAGACAGATCTAGTAAGTAAATATAATTTGAAGTTCTGCAAGAGTTCTGAGAAAATTACTACCAGTAGCCCTGGCAGCCAGAAGCAGCTCCTTCCCCAGATTATGTATATTTTAAGATAAAGCAGAAGGAAAATGGTGCATGATGTCACAGGCAAGAAAGCTGAAGTTTTTTGCTATGTAAATTAAAGAGATACATAACTTGATAGTTTTGAGTACTGTGAATAAAATATATTCTTGCTTAGGTTTTTATTAGAAATATTTTACTCATCTTAATATTTAAATAATTTTCTACTTAATTGACTAGGTTTTTGTTTTGGCTTAGAATCTCTGAATTGAAGGTAAAGCTGATGATTGATAACCTCAGCTTAACAGAACTTTAAGATTTATATTTTTAATTTTAGTATGAAAAAGACGAAAGATAAGGCCCATTAATAACACAAGTCCAGACACAAATGTGATAAGCAACTGACGTATAATTTCTAAATAGACTTTGCTATATAAATGGCTGCAAATTATCTAGCCACCATGTACACTAAAAGTGAATAATAGTTACCCTGTGCAGTCTTGCATACTCAACTGTTATTAAAATGTTCTGTTTTATAATAATAGTATTATTTACAATGCTCAGGGTCTCCACATGTATAAACCTCCTAATAACCAAACAATCCTCTTTATAACACTACTGCAACCTAAAGGGTTGCAAGCACAAAGATGGTTATTCCACTATATCAATTCTAGAAGCATGACAAGAATTTGCATCAATTCTCTGTATACTGTCTAAGAATTTATTTTTAGTTTATATTTACAGTTTACTTATTTATAGCTTAATAAAGCTACTTGTCATTGAAATAGCAGACTACCTTGTCTAACCAAAACGCAACAAAATGTGAACACTTGAAACATTCTGTTTTACTATATTTACACAAACATACAACTTCACACTAATAAAGTTAAATTACTTGTTAAAGTAAATTTGAATCCAGACATATTAAAAATTACTAATATATCTTTATAGGGCTTAAATGAAATACTGATAACTGTTAGCCACACCTCAAATGCCAGCAAGCATTTTTTTTATTTTGTCTATTGCTAGCAAACTCCTATATAAAAATATTTCATAAATGCATTGGCTCAGAATAAATCAAGTATTCAAAGAACTGGCTGTCAAACCCCCAAGTTTTAACAATCTTGTTTTCACTTATTTTTTCTTTCCTCAACAGTCCTCAGGCTCCTAATGTAATTTTGCATGAAAGCAAAGGAAGAAATCTGTCTTTAATATGTGTATAATATACGATACATACCTGTGTAAACTAAAGTGTGGTTTCTTCCACAAACAGCAAGTTTTGTTTTTTCTGGTTTTAAAGCTATGAATTAAAGCCAAAGGGAGGGGAAAAGTTATAAACAAGCTGATAGCTGGTTCAACAACAAAGTATTTATGCTCTAGAGAGAGTTCTGATTTTTTTTCATATTTTTACCAACAGGATGATTACAAGATTCATTGCTCATTTGAACCTAGCACATGGCTTACGAAATCAGGATTCCCCCAAGAAAAGAAAAGAACCTTAAAAACTTAAGCTGACACTCAGGTTCACCTGATGATGGCTACTTCATCCCAATGCCACACTCCCCAGGATATACCATTTATGGGATAACACAAAGAATACAGCAAATTGCAGGACAAAATGTATGCTTAAAGCAGCCTTCAGTTTTCATTAAAGGTACTATTCTAAACTCCCTCTTATGTTTTTTCCACTATCTTAAACCTTTAAAATCATATAATTCTCTTGTCTTATCCCTATCTTCCTTCATTATGTGCAGCTGCCTTTTTTGCTAGACTTCTGCTCTGTGCTGCCTTCTTAATGATCACTAAACTCAATTGCTAAGGACAGTGCCTGAAATTTTTGCATATACCATCCTGTCTCATTTTCAGCTCAATTACCACCCAGTGCTTGTACTTCTCTGCAGTGTGGTCACTGTGAAAGACTGGGAATGTATGCAAGAGGAATCAATAATTATTTTGGTGGGAAAGAGACGACAGAGGTGCCTGTTCTCCCACAGCAAGAAACTCCATTTCAGAACCAGAGGAAAAAAATATCTGACTCTTCCATCCTCTCTCCAGTTACTAACTATTGTCAATAATTTATCTTCTCTCAGCCATGTCCATGTGCCCTATACAATGCTCTTAAAACACCAACATTTTTATGTAATATATCTCTAGGTGCTTTTCCACTGCACCAGTCCCTGACAAAGCCAAAAACCATCGTCCCTTTCACAAACCCTTTTTCAGTCCTTCCAAATCAACTTTTACCAACTCCATAACATTCAGATTAAAGTCCATTCTACCAGGTCACTGAATAAATCTCCGTAAGTATGTACTGCCTCTGGTCTGTCACACAGACACAAACATAAACTGTCCAAATTCAGGTTCCTGCCTACCCTAACTGACACCTGTTGCTACCACCAGGCTGGAACCATAACATCTCCAATGTTGGCTTCGTCCTACAATCTTAATTTGCTGTTTTACATCACAAAACTCTTCCTCCAACTTCAGAGATTATCTTAATCAGCTCTTCAGACTCCTATGCTCCCTAACAATCCTCTCACTAAGGTTGATCAGTTGCATTTGATGAACCTTGCTATATTTATAGCTTTGCTGGCAATTTTTCATTACCTTGTTAACTAGTCTCTAGTCAAGGCCTTGGACATACTTTCTCAGAAATCATGGAGCCACAAATATTTGGCCTCAAGTAGAAACTGAAATGTGCCCTTGAGACTCCACTCCCAAAGCCAAGTGATGGCTGGCAGCTCAGGACTTTCTCCAGCGGCCTACTGCCAAAAGAAGATAGATAACCCTCGCCTCTTGTGGCTTTTTTTCAATGGATGCCAGGTCTGGTTTGAATTGCTGTCATCTCCTCTTCGTCTTTAATTCTCCATTGCAATTTGACAGCAAAAACAAAACTTGACATCCAATCCATCTAAGTCAAGGTAAGAATCAATCTATCACATGGCTGACAGAAGATGTGAACCTGAGAGAAACTGCATTCTCCCTCTGAAGTGAAATAGAGAGAGGGGCAAATAAAGGACAGTAGAATAAACTAACTCAGGAAGAGTTTGAACAAGCAAGGTAATACGTTTTTAATGATAAGCTAACATCAATCTGCTGGCAGAAAGGATGAGGATAAACATTTAGTGGTGAAAAGAAACGTGTTAATGGGATAGATCTGACTTGACATAAGTAAGGGAACAGGGAAAATGTATTGACTTAGTTTTGTTTGACAAGATAAAACTGGCTAGGAAAGTTCAAGAACTTGACAGTGCCACAAAAACAGTATTTTACAACACATGAAAGAATATGGGCATTTATTTTACTGTTTCATACAAATATATATTAACATTTATGCTCCCTCAGGCACTTCTTACACTTGCTAAAAATGTATCACTCTTTGTAGAACGTTCCTGATCAGATTTTTTCATTTATCAGGGCCTAAGACAAAAGTGATATGAAGGTTACACAATGCTTGTAGGAACCCTGATTTCTAACACATGGACAACACTGCAGAAGCTAAGCATCTGATATCTTTGCAGTCACAATGAAGGTGTGGTTTGTCAAAAAAGACAAGTATTACATTAAATTAAAGTTATGATAAAAGACAGGATTCTATGTATCTGAAGTAATCTTCAGATGCAAAAGGAGCCAGAATCTGGAACCGATGGAATATCAATCAGGGATCCTTTTAAGCTACCTTTAGGAGCTTGTGCAACTATATGCTACAAATGATGAGTAAAGAAGGCAGAATCAGTTATTTTGGAACTGTGCCTTATAAAGTACCTTTTCACAAGGGTCTTGTTTCAAAAAGACAAAAAAAAGATTAAACAAACCTTTAACACATGTTGGTTTGTTGACAGTGTTCTTTGATCCTAGTCCTAACTGGCCCCAGTTGTTACTGCCGAACATGTATAGTTTACCATTCCCTGAAAAAAAATGCAGTCAGAATCAAGACAAGTGTTTGAATACCTCATACAAGACAAGATGGTCATTCACACACTATGCTATATATTACTTTTGAATATAAGGTTTAAGATTAGGCAAGTCAATACTTCAGTGTAAAAAATAATTTATGTAATTGTGATTTTTCAGTACAAAAGTAGCAATTGAATCACTTAAGTAAGAAATTCCCATCCAGAAGAAGGGACAAAAAGCAAAACAAATATCCTCTCCTTTAATTATAGCACAGTTAAAGTGCTCTTCAGAAAACAAAATGTATTCCTGGACAGACCCTGCAGTTCAGAAAGCACAGTATCTACAGGCCTGCTTCTAATATAACAGCACATTTAAATGAGCACACACATCATTTACCCCAAAGACAGGAATAAATAATGCAGTTGTATAATTAACACAAACGCAGATTTGTAACTTTCAGCTTATTTTACTGTTTAGAGGGGCTATTTCTTTTACTGATGTCTTCTTTTAAAATTATTTACAAACTTGCACTTCTACAGAACATAGTTTCTGATAAATTTTCAAATGTATTCACAAATTGTAATAATTTACTACTCCACACATAAAGAAGGAATGCACAAAACCATCATGCATTCAGGGAGTTTTATAAACCTAAATGCAAACATTAGATTACAAATCTTCACCAGAAGCAATGCTAGCTCCTGGTGATTTGTGATCCTATACAATGCAATTGTATTTCAGAAACTGGCATGATGTGCCACTGAACTTGCAGGCTTGAGCATTAGAAACAATAAACTGTTGTGATTCTGAATAACCAGTGTTTTTTTAAAAAGGATGGCATATGAACAGATGAAACTTTTGTCATCAGGCACACCAATTAGACAGTCAAAACTGACTACTGACAATACCTTAGAATTATTTATTTTTTGTTAACTATTATCTTCTATAACACTGTTAAGTTTGCACCCAAAAATAAAATCCTTGTTCCAACAGAAATCTTTGCAAAATAATAGAAACCAATTGGTCAAAAAAAACCCTTTACAACTGTTAAAAGGAGTTTCTTAACTTCAGCTAAAGGTCTGAGCTTTGTGAATTAAGACTACATCACAAAGCTGTCACATAAATGTACTTTGTCAACCTACCCATCAACAATTATCACACAACATCGCAACACGTAACAATTCCATATAATAATGCCAAAATATTATGGTTGCTTGTACTTCAGTAGTGTAGGTCCCCAGTGAAGGTTCTGAATGTGATTTACAGACACTTTGAAATACTGTATTGAAATGCTTAAAATATAACAAAAACATTTACTCCGTTTAAAAAATAATTTATTTTCTTAAATGCAAGTACATAGTTTAAAAAAAAGAACCTAAACACCACCAACTATTATCTAAAGTCCAAATTATATTGTTGAGATGTGACAGTTTTTTGGAACATGGGGCTATGTGCCTTTACAACAAAGTTGCAAGGAAGTCTGAGGTCAAGACTACACTCATGACATTTCACCAACAGCATTTATATCACCATCACCATCCTGATTTTTATAATGCCATCATGTCAAAACACACGCAGAGCTGTCTGTCACCAACAGCAAAACACACATTAACAGAATTTTTTTTTTTTAATTAGCAAATAGTGTCCTATCTTGATATATGCTTCTTTGTACATGGTGTTTCATTTATACTTTTTAACTGTTTGTGTAAGTAGTACTGCCATGGAAATATGCCAAGCTGCTGTAATTCAATTTAAGCACATTCTCTTGTATTCATTCAAAATTCCAATAGGTCATGCTTTTCATCCCGTAATCTGCTGTTTCATTTACTAGTCTTTCAATTCTGAGGAATTGCTTTGTAAGTCAAGGAGCTTAACAGGTGAGAGGAATTTTTTTTACATTCTTTTACAATTGAGTGACAGCCTTTTATAATTTCAGGCTTCTAATACTTAGAAGTGTGACAGAAAATAAGGAAAATAGGTAATTCTGACAGTGAAAGAAAACTAAGAGGTGCTACAGAGGAACTTAAACAAATGCTTGTAATGAAACAACATATCTGGGTCTGTACAGCAAATCACATTTTGGAACAGACAAGGTGCAATCTAAGCTGGGCAGGGAAAAGAAAATTATTTTGTATTCAAAAGGCCCTGTTTTCATAATTGCATAATGAGATATCTCCAGTCATCCCCACAGATGCACCAAAGTGAGAATTAATTAGACAGAAGAAAAATAGGCAAGGATCATATTCCCGAACTTTGCAAACTCAGATTGGTTTTGTGTTTTTGCTTTCACTTTGTTGCTGACATACAGAGATTGTGGCTATCTGCCACCTGGAATGGCTGGCAGACAGGCTCAGCAGAGTAAGATTATGACTCTGGGCAGCAGAAAGGAAACAACAGGATATTAAAGGGACTACTAGGACTGTTTTGGTGATGAAAACATACTTCCAACACCAGTCTCCACCTTCATCCTGACACAGGACTGGAATATTTCCCCAAAGTATGTATGTTTTGGCTTATCACCACCAGATGCTTCACCAACATTAATTTAGAGCTATTAGGAAAGCCACAAGATGTTTACAGCTTTAGGAACAGAGGCTTTATGAGGGACTTCAGGAAGAGACTGCCTCCTAACCAGTACATTCCTCATATGAGTAGCTGCTATCCCAACTGTGATTCCTGAGAACCCCAGCTGTCACATGCCCACCCTCGTTCATGAAGTGCTACTAAAGTCATTCGCTCAGCAGCTGGGAAATACCAGTTGAAATCCTCAATAGGATAATACTCCTTCAGGATAATAACAGGCAGTCAAGTATTTTCATCATCTATGTTCACAGATACGTTTTACATATTGCCCCTCTTTCTTTCTAAAATATATTAGTGTGGAAGGGAAATAAAATGTGGAGACAATGTAGAGACTTTGAGCATTTATTACAAGATTCTATTGAGAAGCTGTATCTGAAGAAAACGTAAAAGGTAATGTTAGAGTATCATATGGCAGGTGCCATGATTTTATTTTATTTATTTGTGCTATTTGGTGAATAAATTATGTTAATATTTAATTTAAAATTCTTATACAATTCAAATACATCTCAAGAAACAGGAGAATGACATCAGTTTTGTTAGGCAAGTCATGATCTTATCAAAGTAGAAGTTTTATTGAGCAATAAGAACAGTCACACTTAAGACATTCAGCATCAAACAAGCAAAACTGGAAAAACTGCAAAATTAGTATGTTGCTTGCTCTGACACGTTTCAAAAGAACAACACAAGTGTGTATTAATCTTTGTCATTTTCCTGTTATAGTTGATGCAAAGATACAGTGCCATGCTCTGAGAGCCTGCTGGTAGGCAGAAGAATAGAAGGAATCTGGTGTCGAAAGACCTGGAGATTCCAAGGTCTCTTTGGTGTAAATTGTTGAAATTTAATGCCTTACAAAACCCCAAAACACAAACATACTATCTTCTCGTTGTTCCACAGGCACCTCTTTTCACTCCTACTTCTACACTTGATACTTTTTTCTTTCCTTCTACCGTCTTGCATTGGGGGCTTCAATTCTCTCCAAAGCTCTGAGTTCAGAAAATGTGTCTTCTTTCATCACCGTTTTCCCCCTTGTGAACAGGATCAGTCTCTTTCACCAAATGTGGGCAAGCTGCCTAGGATACTCTAATCAAGGCAAATAAACAATCAGACAGCTGTTAACTTTAAGTTTCATGGAAAAAAAAAATAATAGAAAGGTATTGGGATAAGATTCTTAAAAATATGTGTAGTATCACTTCACACCAGCTTTCAACAGGATGAATAAAATGCTTTCCAAAGCTTGCAGTCATAGAAGATGCAGGGAGTGGACTGTCAGTACTGTCAGGCCAAAAAATATGGGAACGGGGCAAGAAATATTAAATATATTACAAATTATGCTGGAAGATGTACTGCTTAGGACTGCATTAAAGAATTAAAGAAGAAAACTGCTTAAAAATATTCCTGCTTGGATGTTTTAATGAAGATTGTACTAAAGACAGAGAGCACATGAATTAAGAAACATAAATCCCAATCCCAAACACCAAAACCAGAGAATGAAATGCTTCTCTGCCTAGCTCTGCACACCAACTCAAAGTCAGCAAGTAGCTATCACCAGTCCTTTGTATTCCAACATAAAACCAGAGTATTTAAATAAAATTTTGGACTCAATTCCTGACCTAGAAAGCTGAAGAACAGTGTTTCATATTGACTTTACACTTTTCTTCCTAAAACTCATATGGGAATATTGATGAAATAAGCATTTGAGAATTTCTGAATATTGTTTGAATGCTAAATATTAGTTCCTGTACATTTTCTTCCTTCACATTCAGTCGAGATTCCTAGTGCTAGATGTAGCTGTCTCACCTGCCTAAAACCAGCTGCAAGGAACCTTTTGTATCAGTTCGGGTGATTGTTTTACATATGATTGTTGAGACATGTTAGTGTAAAACTGATGTATTTCTTTAGATTTGAATCTACCGCATATTCCCACTGTGTCCTACCTACATAGGTCCCACTACCGCTTCCAAGGGGTGGAAAAAAAATAGGAGGGAAGAATTTCGTGACCTGTAAAGAAAGACTGAAAATAAAATTAAGCATGCATTAACACACACCTGCTCGAGATACTTTTCCTTCCTCAGTGATGCTTGGCTTTTATCTCTTCCAGATCAGGTTCAGTTGGATTTCAAGAAGCTCCTGGTTTCTCACAAGGCCTTTCTCAGTAAACTCATTACTGGAATGCACTTCTGGAGCTTTTATTCCAGGTGTTACTGCAGTTCAATGTCACACACCAAGGGCTGTAATTCCACTATCATCCAACTCCATCTAACAGGAGAAATGCCAGGTGCACATGGGCATGCACAGGTGTGAAGAACAAATGTGGGACCAAGATTTGCTTCCCTTCTTCACTTTTTTGTACAATTCTTGCAGTTTCTCTACATTTGCTCATCACTGATCAGTATTTTATCCTCACTTCTGTCTCTACAATGCGCCAAAAAACACTTCGGTGCTGAAAAAATTCTGTATTCATGCTTCCACAGTTCCTTCTCCTCAAAAGCTTTCAGAAAATAAAGATCTGATTATCTAGAAGTTTCCCTGGTGACACAACAGCAAAGGCCAGCTAGAGAGACATTTTTGGAACATGGTGCATATATGAAAACATCAGGGAGAAGGGGAGGTAGTAGAGAAATGGTGCTGCATGCAAATCTGTATGAGTTGACTTTTTCAAAAGCTTTATCTAAGTAGGCACTATTACAGTGACATGGGAATTAGTGGATTGTTGCTGATTAGGGTAACAGTGCTGTCACAGGCACATGCTGAGGAAGCTCAAGGAGGCAATTTAAATTGACTGGTCTAAACTGAGAATTATACTAGTTCTATTTCAAACTGGGTGTGGGCATATATGAAAGGATACATATAAAAAACAATTCAGAAGGAATATTTCACAATATCCCAGGTTAAATTCTGATTACTTTTATGTAATTGGCAATTTAATAGAACTGGTTCAATCCAAGAAAATATGTGAAGTTTTGTTCAAAATAAGGTGTAATTCATCTTCTGTGAAGCTAAGCTTGAAAAATTAATTATTTAATTTTATCTCAAGATGCAGTCCATGAAATCTATACATTTTTTTATCATGCCTGGAATACTTCATTCTAAAAATCCAGCATCTTCAACCCTTGAGAATATAGCAAGAAACCCTCAGGAAATTACTTAATGAGCAATGAGACCAACTGGGCATTGATGAGAAATTAACACATTCCAGTAAAAAGAGTCCTGAAAATATGCAAGTTTCATACAACAAAGTCTTATTTTCTATCAGCACTTGATTGGCAACACAATTGACACAGGAGCTCATCAGCAAAAGAGTGGTCCTTCCACATAAAAAAATTAAACAAATTCTTAAGCAAGTATTGTTTCCATAATTTCAAATAAACTAAAACAAACATTAATACTGCCCATTGTATTGCACCTGAGTTTCTTTGAATGCTTTTGCAATTTATTTCTGATTTTAGTAGGGTTTTTTAAAGTTTTTATAATTGCTCTTCCAAGGGCTATTTTCAGTTGATAATTAACAGTAATTTGGACCCTGAGAGATACAATTTCATCTATTTTTTAAGGCAGATTCCTACTGATCTTGTTGACTGTGTTCAACAGATACCATACTTCCATGATACAAACCTTTATACTTGAGACTGCCTACTAAACACTGTCATATTCACAAGAAATACTGAAGCTGAACAAAGTCATGCTTACTTTAAATCATGTGTGATACACTGAGTTATCACAGTGTCCCTCATGACAGTTCCTGGCAATGTCTTGTGAAAACCTTCAGTGACCTTACACTAAATTCAAAGTAATCCTGTAGTTCCTACAGAACAGTCATCTTTCCGCTCCACAACCTCATTATTGCAGGAATCAAATAAGAATTAGAATCTTTCCAAGCTATTGAAATTTATAACCTTTTATCATATACTCCATTTCCAATACTGACCTGTAACAACAGCAGTATGTTCATCTCCACAGGATATAAGTACAGGCTTGTCATTTTTGAACCAGAACTTGCTAGGAATATCTTCTGCAAATTTGCTTTTTCCAAATGTGAAAATAGCACCTGATTCTAAAACACAAAAAGATGACAATCTTAGTGAAAAAAACCTTTGCCTCATACATTTTTAAACAGACATTTCCTATTAATTACACATTCTAGTTTCCTATCTGTTTTAAAAAAAAAAAAAAAAAGACTGAAGCATTTTATCCTGTTCTGTTTCACAAAGCCTACTTCATTTGCAGGCTCATATTTTAGTCCTTGGGATTCTTCTTAGATTCCACGAATTTCCTAACAGAACAGGTATTGTTGGTATATTGTATTCTGAGGATACAGCACTAACATACTTTCACATCACCCCTTGAGATAAACTACTGGGTGTGTAAAATAAAAAATAAATAACTCTGAATACCTGCCCATAGAAAGTAAAATTAAAAGTTCAGCCAAAAAGCACGTTGAGACAAAGAGTTCTCACCTACGTTTATACTGGGTCTAGGACAGCTCTCTGCCGGGACACCTCTGCCCTGGGGACACTTCTCTGCAGATCGGCAGATTACACAGGGCTGTGCCGGTGTCCCGGCGAGATGTCCCTTTCCATCTATACTTCAGGTTTTACCTGAATTCAAACAGGTTTCACCAATTGCATTAGAGAGACAGACAGACAGACAGACAGACACACACACACACACTGTAACAAGGTGACAGGCTCCCAACTGCCCACCCTTCCTCACCCATCTGAAAAGATACATATGCTCTAAAAATCGTTCCCTAACATCAAAACTCTCAGCCTTCAAAACATGGGTAGGTACAACTGTCTTTGATCTTAAGACCATGATCTAAAAAACCCAAACAAACCCACCCCAAAATAAAGTCCAGACAACTCTTCTGCCCTTGTGACCTGTCTAGTTTTCTCAGTTTTTTCAAGTCTCAAAAGTAACAGCAATGTTGTTTTAAAACACAGAATGCTAACTACTCATTCACTTTCTGGTTAAGCACGTTAAGACACAGAAAATATTAATTCCACAGGAGAATAAACGGACTTAAAATTTGCTAAAAGCCACGCAGAAAATGTGGCAAACCACAGCTGGGCCTCCTATTTTAAAATGACAAACCTTGTGTTTTAAGCATACAATCATTTTTTGGAAAAGAAAACAAAGTAAGAAAACCAAAATTTTTCCTTGTAGATGTTTTGTTAACATGTAAGCTATGATAATACAAGTACACATAGTAACACTAGATCACTTCTGTAAGGTTACATATAATTCGATAGCAACACTTCCATGTATTTACTTTCAATGAACGCCATCTCATCAACCGTCTGCACCCCAGCTCCAAACCCACAGTTCTCTTAGACTGTAAATTCGATACTAATTTTGAAATGATTCTTTAATACAAAAGTTTCCCCTCATTGCATCATGTTTGGGAGATGCATAAAGTAGTATTTCTTACCTCTCTAGGGGTGTTTCACTTTGAATGTTTTATTGAACACAAGCCTTGTGCAGACAAATTCAAGCCTTTTAAAGAACGGGTTGAGTTTTTCCTCATTTTATGTAGACACACTCACAATCATAAACATGTTTAAAGCCTCTGAAAACGCCGTTTTAATGTTTAATCTCCAGCCAGACAACCGTGCTGTGTATTTGAATACCCTTCCAGTGATCTCCTTGGCACATGTGCCAAGGTAGAGCTCTTTGGTTCCTTTTTCTATTTGCTTTTTTTAATTATTCATTCAGAAGCATTAACACGAACATATACCCTTTTTTTTTTTTTCTGAATCTCACGCATATAAAAGGCAGACAGCTTAATTCACAAACACCCTGCCCACCTCACCCGTTCCACAACCGAACCCTGAGCCCTCCGTTCTGAAACGAAACCCTGCTCCTTCCTAGCACGAAACCCCACCGAACGTTTTGCCACCCTGGCCCTGAGCAAACGTTTCCAAGCACGGCCCGGAGCTCACGCAGGAGACGCAAAGCCCGCCCGCCTATC